ATTTTGGAGGTCAGCCTTTTAGAATAGCAGCACAGATGTGTGTGGATGGAAGGTTGGGGACAAAGAAGGGAAGAGGCGGCAGGAATGGCATGAACTTAGGTGGAGAAGAAGACATGGGAAACTCCCAGAAATATCCAACTACTAAACAAGTATGTGCAGAAGTTTATGGAAGGTAAGATTGGAAAGGGATGGTGGAATGGATTTGTGGGGAGCTGGGATTAGGAAACTAAAGAGTTGGAACTTTAATTCAGTAGGTAGTGGGGAACCATCAAAGTTGGGTTATTTTTTTTTTTCTAAGTGCTCTTAAAATTAAACTTTTTTAAAAAAAATTTTTAGATCATTGAAAATACACAGTTATAAAATTAATACAAAGAGACCCCTGGTAACTTCAATACTTTTAGTATTGACTAAAAAACTATAGTAAATATCACAATCAGGATGTCAACATTTATCTACTGATCTTACTCAGATTTCCCAAGTTTTACCTTTACTCATTTGTAAATGTATTTACTACTATGGAATTTTACCATAAATAAAGGCTTGTGTATATACAACTACAGCCAAAATACACAACAGTTTTATCATCATAAGAATCTCTCATGTTGTGCTTTTACAAAGATATACACCTCATCCCATGCCCCCATCCTTACCTCTCAGCCTTGGCAACTACTAGTGTATCTATCATTTCTATGATTTTGTCATTTCAAAAATGTAACATAAGCAAAATCATATATTAAATAATATTTGGGGGGAGGGACTAGGGATTGAACCCAGGGATGCTTTGCCACAGAACTACATCCCCAGCCCTTTTTATTTTATGAGTTAGGGTCTTGCTAAGTCACTGAGGGTATCACTAAATTGCTGTGGCTGGCTTTACACTCATGATCCTTTTGCCTAAGTCTCCTGAGACACTGGGATTACAGGTGTGTACCACCATGCCAGGCTGTAGTATATAATAATTTGTTATGGCTTTTTACCCATAATTCTCTTTTTAAGATTTTCTAAGTTGTTTCATAAATATTTTTCCCCTGAGTAGACTTCTAAAATATTAATAAACCATGGTTTGTTTTACCATTCACTCATAAAAGGATGACCAAATTGTTTTCAGTATTAGACTACTATGAATTAAACTGCTAAAAATATTTGTACACAAATTCACACTAAAAAATTTTATTTTGTATAATGTAATAATGTATAATGTAATGTGTAATGTGCAAAAAAATTGCATGTGATTTCTGTGTGAATATAAGTCTTTACTCTTTGGGGTTAAATAAGAGTATAATTCCTGGATTGTATATTTAGCATGTTTAGTTTTATCATATAGTGTTTTTTCTATAGTGGCTCTTTTTACTTTCCCTAGAAATGTATAGGTGATTCAAATTCTCCAAATTTTTTTTTACCAGCTTTGATGTTATCACTATTTTTTTTTATTTTAGCCATTTTGATGGGGTGTAGCAAATATCTGTGTGTGTGTATTTAGTAATTTAGAATTCACTTTTGTAAAAACATGTTGACAAATATTAAATGTTATATTTGCATTTTGAACATTTTAACATATGTAAAACACAAAAGAACCAGTATTAATACTGGCACAAACTTAGATGTTGACAATTATATATTTTATAGAAAGGAACTTTCAAAGTTTTATCAATGCTTACAACATATACTATTATTTCTTACCAAAATCTTCATGAAACTTAAAAGACTGGCATTAAACAATAGTTATTTCTTTTTTTGACTATTCTAAAACATGCTAGTTTGGTTTAATCTTCAAACTTTCAGGACATGAAAGATACACAAAATAGAGTATTTTGGTCATAGCAATGGGGAAAAAACTTGACTTAGACAGTATACAATGTCAAGCTTTATCCTGTTTCTTTTTTCTTTTTTTTTTCTTTTTTTTTATTGATTGTTCAAAACATTACAGAGCTCATGATATATCATCTTTCATACATTTGACTCAATTGGGTTTTGAACTCCCATTTTTACCCCAAATACAGATTGCAGAATCACATCTGTTACATACTCACATTTTTACATAATAGCATATTAGTGACTGTTGTATTCTGCTACCTTTCCTATCCCCTACTATCCCCCCCTTCTCTTTTTTCTTTTTTAAGCAGCCCAACGATGGGGGCAGGAGGGTTAGTACAATACAGAAAATATAGGGAGTACAAAATGGCAGTTAACATTAATGTCTCTAATTATCTCATTAGGGTAGTAACTAAGAATATTATTAATTTTTGCATTATTTGCTTTTCTTTAAAATGTGAATCAAAGCCATTTCCTTGAACTTGAGGTGTAAACAATACACAATCTTAAGCAAATTATTTTTTTGTGAGTAACATCATATTTTAAAATATTGGAAACTATCTGTGCTGAATTGTATTTTGACTTATATAAAAAGGCAAGAACATTCAACAGGAAGGGTTGAACTATAATAAAGCTCTTAAAGTTCAAAACATCTGCTTCCCCCTTTGTACTTACCACAGGCTCTACAAGGTCCTAGGGGACTCACGACAGGGAAAAATGTCAATCACAGCTTTAACAATGAATGTACTTTGGAAGAAACTAAGGAGAAAACAAATTGGAAGGTGAGACTTCATCTTTGTTTTCAAATAAGTGGCCTGAATTTTTCTTCTTATAGAAAAAAAATTAAAGCACCTTATAAATGTATCTAAACAATTAATTTTTGCAGCTTTCAGGTTTAGTCCAGCACTTTGTTTATGCAAAATCTATGAGAAGCCATCATAAAAATTATCTAATCTCAAATCGTGACATCATCCATTCAAGTCCTTGGCATAATCCCTCACCATTAAGAGCAGAGCATGCCTGGATTTGCCACTGGTCAATAGAAGTTATCTTCAAAATCTGGCAGATTACGGCTAGTCATACATCTTGTTTGTAATAAAAAAAAATCAGCAATCAGGCTTTCCGTAGTCCTCATGCCCTAACATATTGTACAGTTGTCTAGTCATAGAATTCTCTTCCTGGGTGTGTACTTTCCTTGTTAATGTGTTTCAGGAAGAAGGAAGAGATTCTTGGCCACCAATATCCCACGTTAGGAAATATGCATTATTTAATCACGATCTCTTCTACTTATTTCCTATTGTAGAGGCTGCATATACAATTTCATTCATAGAAAATTGATAAAGGATGGTAGTTTTCTTTGCAATATCCAACCGAGCAATGATAACTTTGTGCTCCTAAATGTTTGCACCATCTGTATCCTGGTAAAGAGAATTTCCATTCTCAGGCGGCAAACCCCCTTCAGCCTTCCGGGGTCGCCTGGCTTCTCTTGGCTCAGGCTGAGAGGAAGAGGGACGTGCTGGAGCCTCCAAGCTTCTGCCTCTGCGGTTTCTGCAGCCCCTAGGTTGGCGGTCGGCCACCTTCCAGGAAACCAGAGGGAAACTCGGGATCCTGCCATTGCCGCGCGACCACCACCCCACCGGTTACACGGCTCACTGCGGCACACTGCAACCCACCTCTGCCACCCACGCGCAGCCGCGCGCGGCAATCCCACTACGGTCCTCTGCACCTGCAGCGAAGACGCAGCCCCCAGTGGCTGCAGCACGCGGCGCTCCCACCCCACCCCCCATCCTTGCCGCCGCCGCCGCCGCTGCAGCTGCCGCGCGCGTAACCGCCACCGCCTTGCCCCGCAGCTGCTGTGCCTGCCGCCCTGCCGCCCAGTCGCCCTGCTGCAGCCGCTGCACGTAGCACTTGCCTAACTCGGAAAAGGCCTCCACGTTGTCTGTGATGATCCTCGCGGGCCACCATCCACTCCTAGCTCCGTGGCTGTGGTAGAGGCGACCGCGCAAAAGGGTCTCGTGTTTTTAAGTCACATTTCTGCAGTGGTTAATGATGTTGAAAAGCTTCTCATACAGTTTTCTGTCATCTATCTTATCTTCAGTGAAATATCTAGTTGGATTTCTTTTTTTTTTTTAATTTTGAGTTTTAGGAGTTCTTTATTCACTCTAGATACCGGTCCTGTGCCAAATGTGTGGCTTGGAAATATTTTTTTCCTAGTATATACCTTTCCTTTTCGGTATGTTTGCAGTCTTTTTACATAGCAAAAGTTTTTAATTTGGGGAAATCTGATTTATTTTAAAATATTTGGAACATGCCACTGGTTTTAAAACTAAAAAATTTCTGTCCAGCCTTAGATACCAAAGATTTTCTGTTTCTTTTTTCCCCTAACAGTTGTGAGCATTACACGTTGCATTTGAATCCATTATTCACTTCAAGTTAGTTAATTTTTGCATAAGAGACTATGTTTGGCATTTAGGGTAGTTATGACTTAGCGTTTAGGGTGTTTTGTTTCGTTGATTAGGTTTTGTTTGGTTCTTTCTTTTCGTTTTCTGTCTATGGGTGTCCAATTTCCCAAGCACCACTTGCTTATAGTTCCTTGCTTCCTGCATTGAATTGCCTTTCAACCTTGGTGGAAAGTTAGACATATTTGAATGGACCAACCAATTCTTTATGGGCCTTCTGTCTTATTGATCTGTGAATCCCTCCACTAATATTACTGTCGTGATTATTAACACAATGTAAGCTTTAGGGTCACATACCGTGATAGTTCCTACGTCTTTTTCCCAAGGTATTTTAATCATTCTAGGCACTGAACCTTACCACGTAAATTTTAGAAAAAGCTCATCTACAAAGGACCCACAGAGAATTTGGACAAGAATTGCATTAAACCTATAGATGAATTTAGAATCGACATCTTTACTAAATTGAGTCTTTTAATTCAAGAACGCATTGTCTTTCCATGCAGTTCTTTGATTTCATTAGTATTTTTTTAATTTATAAATCCTTTATGGAAGGGACCATGTGAAAAGGAATTTAACTGGCCTCAAATCTGATGCATAATTATTCCAGACCCCTCCCCCATGATAGAGACCCCCTCAACACCGAAAAGCTGACAGAAGCTGACTGACGCCTCGCTGTGAACTATGGGATGAGCCATTCAGGTGTAGGGGACGCTGCGGAGACTCTCCGCTCAGTTAGCCCCTCACATTCCTGTTTCCACCCCCCAGCACGGTATGCCAAATGGACCCTCCCAGCCTATGCCCCCTCTGGCTTTAGTACAAAGCTCCGTCCGAATCCAACAGTTGTTCCAGTGTTTTCCTGGAGCCACCAGGACCACTGGTTCTCCCGGGCTTCTCTGAGCACCCAACCAATTGCTGCATCCGCCTCCTTGAGGAGCAAATTTGTCTCTAGCTTGCTTGGTCGGAATCTTGGGGGAGAGGTAAAGTATTTTCCGCCTTTTTCCTTTTTTTTTTTTTTTTGCGGGGCTTTTGCGGGGGGACTCGGAGGTAAAGTGTTTCGGGCAAACCAGCCTGGGTTGTTGCTGGGTAGTAATCAGTTGGCGAGTTGTCCCGGGAGTGGGCGCAATCCGTAGATGTCCTTTGTAATGATTGGGAATGTACCAAACTGGGCTTTCAGACCTCTGCGAGCTCCTAAGGTCCCGGTCGACCCCTTTCAGCCCTCCTACCGACCGTACCCTGGATGGCGCATCTCGACTGGACTGTTTGGTGTCACTCATATTTGGCAATGAGAAACTAGCAATTTTTAAAACAGAAGAAAGGTTTGATAAATAAGTATGCTCGCGCGTATACCAAAGACTTAACAAGTGTTCATTGTTACAGACTCTAGTTTCGTGCTCGGGAAATGAGAGTGGCGTAGTGTAGTGGGAGAGAGAATTAAAATGGGTGTGAGAGCGTGTGGCCAGCCACCGGAAAAGTAAGGCGTCACGCGTTTTCTCTGACCGGTGAGTACGGCGCACTGGGGTCTACCTGACCTCGCGGTGTGTGCGCGCCTCTCCAGGTACCTCGCTGGACTCTGCGCACTTCACTTTGCAGTGGTCTGAATGCTAGCGGTCACCTGCATATTTCACGGCTGTCTCAGCTCCGCCTACAGTCGAGGAATTGAGGTTTGAGTGTTTCTCCAAAAGCTACGGTAAGGATTAAGTAAAACAATTTAAGGAGAAAACAAAAGCTAGATCTTTGCACTTTAGGTGCAAAATAGGTCCGCTATATATTCCTTGCAGGTCCGACAGCCCACACCAACCCAAGTCCCCGTTTATAATGTGTTTGTTTGCCCCCCGAAACAGGACTGGGAATTTTCTTCCTGCAGTGAGCACTTCTGAGTGCAAAACGGCACAGAGTGAACCTTCCCCAGGGTCCCAGTGGAGCAGCTGATTAGACTTTCTGACACTCAT